CCTCGTCCAAGTCACTGATGAAGATGTTGATCAGTACAGGCCTGAGAACTGAGCCCTGCAGAACCCCACTGCCCACATCCCTCCAGGCTGAAAATGACCCATCCATTACCACTCTCTGGGTGCGGCCCTCCAGCCAGTTGACGACCCATTTGACTGTGTAGGTGTCGACACCACAGTCCCCCAGTTTCTTAATGAAAACGGGGTGAGAGACAGTGTTAAAGGCCTTCCGAAAATCCAGAAAGACTATGTCCACTGCTACCCCTGCATCTAAGGATTTGGTGACCTGGTCGTAGAAGGCCACCAGGTTGGTCTGACAGGACCTGCTTCTAATGAACCCGTGTTGGTTGCCCCTAAGCATAATCTCCCCTGCTGGCCCCTCGTGGACATGTGCCAGAATAATTCTCTCAAAAAGCTTGCCCAGGATTGAGGTAAAACTAACTACCCTATAGTTACCTGGGTCCTCCTTTCTTCTTTTTTTGAAGATGGAAACCATGTTGGCCCTCTTCCAGTCCTCTGGCACCACACCAGAGCACCATGAGTGCTCGTACAGCTGTGCCAGAGGTCCCGCGATGACCTCAGCTAATTCCCTCAGCACTCTGGGGTGGAGATCATCCGGACCAGCCGATTTATATACATCCAGTCCCTCCAGAAGTTCCCTGACTAGATCCTCCATGACCCATGGCCTAGGTGTGCCTCCCCTGGGGCCTGAGGGGGACCCAGTGTGGGGGCTGATCCGATCCCTGCTCAGGAAAATGGAGGAAAAGAAGTTAAATAGGTTAGCTTTGTCATCTGGTGTGATGACCAAATTTTCTAGCGTGTCTTGCAGGGGCCCCACATTACCCGGTGCCTTCTTTTTGCCCCCTATTTAAAAAAGGACTTCTTCTTGGTCCTTGATCTGAGAAGCTAGTCCCAGTTCCGTCTCCCCCTCGGCCTTCCTGACTTCCACCCCGCATCCCTGAGCAACCGCAGTATGATCCTCCCTGGTGATGGCCCCTCCCTTCCATTGGTTCTACACCTCCCTTTTAGCTAGAAGACATTCCCGGATGCTTTCGGTGAGCCATGGGGGCTTTTGTGCCCTACTGCTCCCTTTGATCTGTGTTGGGATTATTTCCCTTTGGGCTTGGAGGATTGTCTCCTTAAGGAGTGACCACTCTTCTTGAACACCTGGCTCCCCCCCTCCCCTCTGGGACCTCAGTGCTTCCCCAACTATTCTCCTTAGCTCATTGAAGTTTGCCCTCCTGAAATCTAGGGCTGCTGCCTTGCTGCAGGCCTTTGCCACCTTGCGCTGGATGGTGAATTCCAGCAGGCGATGATCACTGTCACCCAGGTGGTCGAGCACCCGCAGCCCCCTCACCAGGTCATCACCTGTGGCCAGCACCAGGTCCAACAAGGCATCTCCCCTTGTGGGGCTGTCCACCTCCTGGGTTAGATGGAGGTCCTGGATTTGGGGTGGGAACCTACGTGAGCGGTCAGACCTGGATGACTGCTCTTCCCAGCAGATGTCTGGAAAGTTCAGGTCACCCATGATGACCATGTCCTTTGACCTAAGTTTCAGCTTTAGAACCAATTTGGAATGCTTGGATTTTTCTTTACAGCTTATGAATTATGTTGCAGCTCTCTCCCTTCATTGCTGTCAGCTTTAGAAATATGTTGACAGTAGTATTCCAGGACTTCATTATTTAGGTAGCAGACTAGTGTGGGAAATGCAAAATGATACACCTTTTTCTCCATAAGTCCAGTTATTAAAAAAATCAACTGAATGAAAAAAAAATTAAAAGGAGTACATTTTCCCTGAAGTACTGCAAGTTTTTCTTGTATCCTTTCCCCAAAGAGTGCATTCTTATAACCCAAACACCAATCATCTACTTAAGAGAAGGTTGTTTGGACCCTTATGACTAGCAACATAACAGGGGAGAAAAAGAGGGCAAGCGGGATGCCAGTCCTAGGTGCTGACTATGAGAGGGGCACCAGGATCTCCTCCAGGAGTTTTTGCGACAGCAGGCCCAGCCCTGACTTGCTTGGCCATAGCAGCAGCCACCACCATAGTATTCAGTGTTCAAAAAACTGGGGAAGGTAAGATTTCCCTTCTCCTCCCCCCTGCACAACATCCCCCCTTATCTACAGTAGTAGACATACCTACCCCATACCTCCCCCCACAGGCTCTCTATAATACAGCTACAGTTATTTTTCTGTAACTAGAGGCCATGAGTAAATAAATAAATTCATACACTGAAGACCAAGCTCCTGATAAGGACATCTATTACATGCATGAAGGTTTGTTAGGCCTTCAACCTCACCAGGGGTCTATATGATTTGGGATGACAAAGGGTTAATTCCCCTGGACACTGGCTTGCAGCCTAGCCCCATCCAGAGGTATACCACTATCAATGAAAACTTAACACTACGGCAAAGGTTAACAAGACTATATTATCAAGGTAAGTATATAAAAAACACAACAATAATGAATCCACAATACAACAATGAACCAGTCAACAGAGAGTTAACAGAACACTATATGCAATAATAGATACAGGAAAGAACCAATGCAGGCCTGTCGCCGGAGGTGGCAAGCAAGATCATTCTGAAGGTGGCAGGCAAGATGGCCTGCCAACCTGTCACAGACTGCCTATTCCCTAGATGATTTCTATCTTTTCCTCACTCTCAGTGAGTATGCAATTCCTCCAAAGGGATGGGTGATACTTTACCATCCAAAGGTATGCAGGAGAATACAGGTGAGTAGAGGATGGCTCTGTCTATGAGTGTATACCTCCACGAATGGATGGAGTTCAGTTACTCAGTCCACTCAAGCAACTCTCATACTAATCACATATATGAGCAGGTTTCACACCATACGCTCATCAAGTGACTCCGTTTCTCATAACCTTTCAGTTCCGATCAGACACAACATGCACTGACACCAACTTGGTCACTCTCCCAGGCAAGCACCCAGCCACTGCCCAGGCTCAGGATGCATACAGACTCAATCACTTCCTCAGTAGCTCTCCAAGTGATAGTCCTGACAGGTTTTATAGTGTCAGCCTCATGCCACCTCTCTATGATATGCAGGACCCTTCCATCATTCATCTTTCCATCACATTACTGACCAATCTGGAGGATTGTTACCTCAGGTAAGTATTTCATACCACACTTTACATTGGAAACATGTTTCTTCCAAATTCAACTTATATAATACAGGCTGATTACACATGCTTGTCAGTCCTATGTAGGTCAATGGACCCATAAGTTTAAGAGTTCACTCTACTCCACCCCGGGTACTGCAGCTGGGGTTAGCAACATATATATACACACACTACATTTTCTCCCACAGATTTTGTACGTTTAAGACAGCTGATCAAATTGATTTTAATAAATCGGGCCAGAATAAAGGACCACTTTCTATCTGTGATACCCAAACAGAAAGGTAGAATGTAAGGATTATTGTTTAATGCATTTCACACAAATAACTTAGAGTTTGGTGTTTGTTAACTTTCCGTATAGAACCAAGAAGAATAAGATAACATAATAAGTTTAAAAAAAAACAAATGTCACTAACCTAGCTCTCCATTTTCAATCACTTCAAAAACAGCCCAGATATCATCCTTGCTGGGAATAATGTTTTTTATTCCTACTACATCATTAGTTAATTCTTCTGCCTCCATCAAAGGTGATACCTGTGATACAGATAGTAACAATTAAGCATTTATTAAAAGTTGTTTATTAAGTACTAATGGTTTCCTCAATGATAGACAAACCATCATTTTTTATTATAAAGGAAATTGCAGGAATAACAAGTTTGTGAATCCACTAACTATTCCCTAAATGCTCAGCAAGTACATTGTCATTCACTGAATTATACTGGACTAAATTTATGCAGGTTAAAAAAATAAAACTCAAGAACTTCTCAGTCCTCCCCTCTCTCCAAAGGCTGAAGCGCTCTAGTTCACACCTATCTGAAAGAATAAATGGTTAACCCCCAAAATTACAAAAATAACTGTTTATATAGCACAGGGCTGTTTCACCTTCCCCCAGCAATACAATGCTGCTGTTTTCAGTCATGTCAAAAAGATTTTTCTTCCTGTGTCACTCGCAGCATAAAATCATAATGAAATGGAATCAGAGAACCCTAACAAAGATAATAGGTATCCTGCTAAAATTGCTTTTTTTCTAATCATATGCATCCTTCATTACTGCAGAAAGTTAATGTTTTTCTTTACATCTGAATAGTAGCACACTACTGCTTAGAGCCCAGTGCCTTTCAGGAGCGCTATTAGACTCAAAGCTGGAAATCTCAATTATTGAAAGCGGTGAGTTCAGACTTCTCAGCACCCAAGCAAGGAAGATAGCCTCTGGCAGAAAGAGACATCAGGAAGAAGGTCATGTAAATGACCTTGCACTACTGAATAAACCCAGTAGTCACTGTGCAATTGTTAATGTTCCTGTGTGCTGCAGGAGTGGCATAATGCCAGTGTGAGTGTTAATACTACTATATCCTGCCAGGGATGTGTCCTCTTTAAAATTATGCCATAGCCTTCTGCTTAAAAATGCATGAAGACTGCTCTTTATAAATTTTAATTAGGTAACAGCTCAAATGCAAAAAATAATTGTAATTTTAACAGTAAAAGATAGTAATAAGCAGAGCAAGACTGTGACTATTATCATAAAAACACATGTAACATTAGATTTTCTAAAATAATAAGAAATGTTATATTTCATAAGAAAAGTAATTATTTAAAAGTATATGATTTTTATATACTGACCCTAATTATAATACTTTGGTCTGGCTCTTTTCTTTCCACATAAACTTCAATTAACAAATCTCCAGCCTGGGAAACCTAAAATAAAATAACATAACATAAAATAAAAACAAAAAATAACAATAAAAAAAAAAAAAAATCACACAGTTTACAGGAATTCAAGTATTTCTCAGATGTACCATTTAAAAAAAAAAATGTACCTTCTTTTACGTGGGAAAATACAATTGTTATCTTACAGGACTGCTTGAGCCCAATTGTGAACAAACCTTCCACTTTGAGCTGTAGAGTGCCTTGACGCTGACTTCAAGAGAAGGTATTTTCTTTTCTACTTAATGAGAAGTCTGTACTCTAAGAAGGGATCCGGACGTGCAGGCATGTGTGGCTTATGGCACTGTAAACCTCTTTGCAGCACCACAAACCATACAAGTTGCACATTAATCAGTGCATGGTGCTGCTAATTTGCTGTCCTGGGGCAGTGCGCTACCAGGATGTCCTGGTAGCAAAAAAATCTTGGAAAAAAAGCAGTGCAACCCATATCAAACTGGCATTTTTATTTTACTTTATTTTTTGCCTACTCTCCTGTCTCCGTGCACTGTGAAGCTCCTCAGCTGAGACACCCCAGAATATAGGCTGGCTGATCCCCTGCCTCCATGCGCCTCAGCACAGGGGCTTCACTGAGGAGCCCCCACACTGAGGCATGCTGTGCCATTACTATTTGTGGGAACCCCCCCACTGATGTGCACCCAGCCTAAGGGAAGAAACAGATATTACCTGTTGGCCAAATAATGAGCATATATTCACTCTGAACAAATAGCGACTCATAGAATCAATGAGTCGGAAGGGACCTAGACAGATCATCTAGTCCGACCCCCTGTAATGGGCAGAAACGAGCACTGGGGGTGGCAGGGGCCATAAGACCCCAGCCAGGTGCCTATCCAGTTTCCTCTTGAAGATTTCCAGGGAAGGTGAGAGCACCACCTCTCTGGGAAGCCTATTCCAGGCTCTGGCCACCCCTACAGCGAAGTAGTTCTTCCTAATATCTAACCTAAACCTATCCTCCCTCAGCTTGTGGCCATTGTTCCTGGTGACTCCAAGGGGGGCCCTGGTGAACAGACTTTCCCCAAGTCCCTGCTGGTGGCCCCTGATAAGGTTGTAGGCAGCCACAAGATCCTCCCTCAGTCTCCTCTTGCGGAAACTGAAGAGATTCAGGTCCCTCAGCCTTT